AAAGAAGGTGGGGGAAAAGAAAGGGAGAAGAAAGGGGGGAAAGAAGGGAGGCAAAAGAAAGGGCAGAAAAGAAGGAGGGGAAAAAAGGTGTAAAAAACATGGGTGAAAGCAGGAGGAAAGAGGGGGGAAAGGGGAGGAAAGAAAGGGAGGGAAAGAGAGGGGGGAAGAGGGGAGGAAAGAGGGGAGGAAAGAAAGGGGAGTGAAAGAAAAGGGGGAAAAGAAGAAAGGGGAGGAAAAGAAAGGGGAAGAAAAGAAAGGGGAGGAAAAGAAAGGGGAGGAAAAGAAAGGGGAGGAAAATAAAAGGAGGGAAAGAAAGGGGAGGAAAAGAAAAGGAGGGAAAGAAAGGGGAGGAAAAGAAAGGGGAGGAAAATAAAAGGAGGGAAAGAAAGGGGAGGAAAAGAAAAGGAGGGAAAGAAAGGGGAGGAAAAGAAAGGGGAGGAAAAAAAAAGGAGGGAAAGAAAGGGGAGGAAAAGAAAAGGAGGGAAAAGAAAAGAAGGGGGGAAGAAAAGGAGGGAAAAGAAAGAGGGGAAAAGAAAGGGGGGAGAAATAAAGAAGAAATAAGAAGAGGAAAAAAGTGGAGGGAAGAAAGGGGAAAAGGAAGGAGGAAAAAGAAGAAGGGGAAAAAGAGGCCAAAAAAGAGAGAAAAGAGGGAGGAAAAGAAGGATGGAGGAAATAAGCAGAAAACGAAGGCAGGGGGGAAAGAAGGGGCAAAAAATTCATGTATTCTTTTCCTTTCAGCTTTGGTCTCTCTCTGTGCCTCCAGATCCAGGTCAGCTTCCCCTGGTACCAAGAAAAATCCTGAGATCCTATGGCATGGACAGTGTGGCCTCTTGTCCCTTCCCTGCACCCCTGCTCCCATCCCTGCATTCCCACTCCCATCCTCGTATTCCCAGTGGGAAGCACAGACCCAAGAGAAAAGAAATCCGAACCTACTCTAGTGGCAGCAGTTCAACCCCACCAGAAAACAGATAAACCAAAATAAAACGGCATCACCCCAAGCCAGAGCCAACGCTGGGGTCTGGGAAAGGACCAGCTCCAAGGGGATTCTCCTGGCCTGCTCCTTAGGGAACAGCTTCCCAGACCTAGGGGAAACTGGGCACACATCCAGCAGGCAGCAGGAGAGGGTTTCCCATCCCTGACCTGAGCAGCATCACCCTGGCAACATCATGTCTCTCTCTCTCTCTCTCTAGATATATATATATATATATATAAAGCGTATTTTTTTAAAATATGTCTTATAAAAAATGTTGTATATTCTATAGCAATGTTTCGTGTGGTTTATATAATTTCATATATTTATATAAGTATTTTATATAAATATAGAATCATAGAATAGTTTGGGTTTGGGATTGTTAAAGCTCATCTAGTCCACATCTCTCATATAAAAATACATATTAGGAGTATACTTTTACACATATAAAATAGATATTAGAAGTATGTTTTTATACCTATAAAATATACATTAAAAGTGCCTTTTATATAGTATCCTTATACAAATAGTATCTTTTATTTGTACCTACTAAATATTTTAAATACACAACCACAAATTATTAACTTATATCACTATAAAAGACACTAAAAGTTATAAAATATATCCAGTTTAGGATATAGGACTAGGACTGAGAGCAGCCTCACTTTGAGCACCCCAAATTCAATTTTCTGCTCCCCACATGCATTCCCAGACACATGTGGAGAGGTTCCAGGGGCTTTTCCTGGCAAAGCAACTCGTGCACACAGAACTCCTCTCCCCTAATTAAACATCTCATTAAAGCAATTAATAATAAGGCAGGAAAAGATGGGGAGACCAAAAAGGTTTGGATGTGTATCCCAGTCTTTAAAACCGCCAGCATTTTGGGTTGAAAAACAAAGGACTGTGGGAAAATAAACGAATAATCAATAAAGCAAAAACACACTGAAATGAGAATCGAATTGCTGCTCAAGAGAGAATTATTTAAGGTTAATTCCTTTGTAAATAGGAGAAAATGCCAAATCACCCCCAGCAAAGCCCCTCGGGAGGCACCAGCATTGTTCCCCCTTCAGCAACTTTTAATCGGGGCAAATTCACATGAGTTTTACATGTATTTACACTGTAATATTTAATATTACAGTGATTTCCAGGCTCCCCCTCCCTCTGCTCACATCCTCCTCGTGCTTTCCTTTCTCATTTCTGAAAATTACAGCAAAAGCAGAAATTAAAAGGCACCTTTGCAACCAGAACCCCCAAAATCTCCCTGGTCTGGAGATAATAAAGGGAGTTTTGCTACTTATTAAATTCCCCATTTTTATCCAATCCTTGCCTAAAACTCAGTGCTGAGGTGGCTGAGTTTTACTTCTCATTCCCCACAGAAAGCCTATTTTTAAAAAATATCCTGTCTTTATATTTTTATATATTCTCTCTTTTCTATCTTTCTTTCCCATTAATAGGCATTTTAAAGATTTTAGGGATATAAAACCAATCTTTAAGAGGGAAGATGCTGCTTCTTCCCTCAACACCATGCTCTGCATACAAAATACTCTTGGAGTGGCATTGCTTCAAGCAAATAAAAGTATTCCCTCCCCCTGCTGAGTATCAAAATCAATTTTTAAAATACTCTAAAAATATTAAAATGTTGATTATAAAAAAGAAAAATTATTTTTTCTTTAATTTTCCAAGCCACAATCCAACATAAACAAGGGGGAAAAAAAACAACTGTGAAGCTGTTAGGTCCTTCCTAGAGGAGCCCAAATTATTGGGATGGCAGCAGAAGGGCTGGTTATAAACTCGTGGGAAGGGAACCGATGGATTGGAAGGGATCCAGGATCCTTCCCACCACTGTCACATTTAATTCCTGCCTTCGGAGAAACAGAAACCACCCCCCTGCCAGCACCTCCCCTCGAGGAATTCCCTTCCCTGCTTCCTGTGGGGGGATGTCCCGGGCTTTTCCAGCCTGTTCCTTATCCAACTGTATTTACACACGTGTCAATATACTGATAAAACAGATCTGTATTCGATTTTAAGGGGAAAATCAAGCATTCCAGGTGAAGATGGGCGTGGAGGGAAACACCTCCTCACATCCCTGTGACGCAGGAACGCCGAGGGATCGGAGCCAAGGGGGACTCAGGTTCCCTGACCCACATAAACCCCAAATTCATTTAAATAACGAAGGGGGGATTTTTACCATTTAACTCCCTAAAATCCCAGAATCTTTCCAAGACTTGACCACGACTATAAAAATTGGATTTCAACTAGGGGGAGGGGGGAATAAACACAACCACGTGAGGCCCCGTTCCCTGCCAAAAATCACTTTATAAAAATAAAATCTATAATCTACCCAGTCGAGGCACACCCCCCAAACTGGGTATATTAACATAAAGAAGAATAGATTTTTGGAGGGACTGGAAATAAAAAGATATTGGCTTAAATTAGATTCTGATAATAGGAAGAAACTTGGGAATAGAAAACTTGCAGCCATCTGAAAAAAGAGCAATGTAAAATAAATCTGTATTTATTTCTGGGCTGGTTAAGCTGGATTTGCTTTGGTTTTATTTTGTTTTTTAATTTTAAAACTTGGAAGGAAAAGTAGGAGCCCCCCGAGCCCCAACGGAGGATTTAAAGATGAATTCCTTGTTTACATCCCCTGTATACATGTGAAAGGTCAAGCCCCGGCTCTGTACTATGGCCCCAAACTCCCAGTTCCTGGCTCCATCCCTCTTCCAAAGTCACCAGCAGCCCAACCTGAGGCTGTAGCAGAGGTTTTAGCTCAGGAATATCACACCTGGGAATTTCCTGGGGGCTCGTTGGGGTGGTGTTTGGAAGGTGGAGAGCGTGTGATCCCTGCCGAAGAAGAAATCCCACTCCGGCACACGTGATGCCGGGCACGAGCTGTTCCCCCCGCCCCGCTAAGCCTCAATTACACAACAGCATTTCCAACCCCCCCGTCATTACCAAATTAATACCCCACCAGGAATCCCGGGCCAAATTCAGACCCCACCTCCCATCCTAGGCCAAACCCGCGCCGAGCGGCGGCAAATTATCCGCCCGGACCAGCCCCTGGGGTGTTTTTTCCTTCCTTTTATCCCTACACATGACGCGGGGGAAGGGGAATAAATCTCGGGATGAGGCTACGCAGCACAGTCCCGGGGTTTATTTTCCCTTGGAAACATACATGTGCCCATCGCCCCGGCCTCGGGCACCTGATGGAAATAAGAGGGCGCACTCCGACACGATGGATTAAATACGGGAATGCTTTGGGCTCGGGGGTTCTCTGGCTGGATAACGGGGGGATGAGGTGTTTGCAAAGGGAAATTTGATTAATTACCTACTAAAAATAATAACCCTGAGGGCGCGGGTGGCTCCGCTGTTGGGAAAACCTCCACCCGCGCCGCGAAAAGTGCGGAGGAAAGGGGCGCTTTTTTGGTGTTTTGCTGCTAAATAAGAGGCTGTTTTCCACGGGAGCGGTGGGGAGCGTAGGGTGGGGGACATCCATGGGGGTTCCCAGCCGTGGGAACGCGGCCGTGGGCCGGGAGCTCCTTCCCCTGCTCCCCGCGCTGCGCTCCGGAGCGAAAGTAAAACCGACGGGGCTCCCCCACCCCCATCCCCGCATCCCTGTTCCTGGAGCTCCCGGCGCGCCCCCCGTCCCGGTGGGACGGACGACGGGATGGAGGGGTCTGGGGGGTGACGACGCGGGCTTACCTGAGCTTTTTGGGCACTGAATAATCCACTTCCATCACTTTGCCGTGCAGCTTCACTTTCCCTGCGGAGACAGCGGGGCGCTCAGCATCCCCCCGGGATGGCCAGGGCGGCATCCCCCCCGCAAATCCCAGCCCTCCCCATCCCACCCCACATCCCGGCCCCCCGCGCCCCCCGGGCTCTCCCCGCGCCCTCCGGACCCCCGGACCCCCCGGGCCCCCCCGCTCGGCGCCCGCGGGGAGTTGGGCTTGGGCACCTCGTACACGGGTCCCCGGGGGGTTGCAGGGGCCGGGGGGGCGGCGGGGCCGGGGCCGCCGCGCCCGGGGGGCTCCCAATAAAATCGGACAAAAAAATCAGCGAAAAATAGAGGCGAGGTTGGGAAGAGCCGGGGCGGGAGGAGGGAGGGAAGGAGGGAAAGGAGGGAGGGAAGGGGGGACCGGGGGATGCCCGGGGAGGGGGCAGCGGGGTGAGGGGATGCGGGGAGGACGCGGGGGGGACGCGAGGGGCGCGGGGGGGTCACTCACCCGAGAGGGTCTCGATGGCCCGGATGGCCCAGTTTTGGTCCGGGTAGTCCACGAAGGCGTAGCCGGACTTGAGGAGGACCTGGCCGGGCAGGGGCAGCTGCCGCTCCCCGAAGAGCTGCCGGAGGTCCTGGGCGGTGGTGGCGGGGCTCAGGTTGCCGATGTACAGCTGGTTCATCCTCCGGCGCCTCATCGGGAGCCCCCCAGGCTCCTCCCCGGGAGCCCCCCCGGCTCCTCCCCTGCCGGGAGCGGGACAGACGTGGGCACGAGAGGGTCCCGCTCTGCGCCACCGGCCCCGGCCCGGCGGAGCCTCCGACAGCGGCGGGCGGAGCCCGGCCCGGCCCGGCCCCGGGGCCGCCCCGCGGGGGGGCAGGTGGAGTCGCCAGACCCCGCCGGGGACGGGGGCTGGGGGGCGCCCGGGGGGGCTCGGCTCTGGGCCCCCACAGCCCTTCTGTCCGGGTACCCACAGCACCGCAGCACCCCCAAACCCTCCTCGGCCCCAGAACCCTCCACGCCCCCACACCCTCAAACCCTCCGCTGTCCTGGAACCCACCACACTCCAGCACCCTCTGACCGCTCTGCCCCATAACCCACCACACCCCATTACCCCCAACCCCTCTGTCTTGGAACTCACCACACCCCAGCAGCCCGGATTCCATCACCTGCGATCCCATCACCTCCAAACTCAGCATCTCCAACCCCTGCTACTGCTCTGGGACACCCCCCCCTCCCCCAGCGCCCTCAACCCATCTGCCCCAGAACCCACCACACACTGTCATCACCCCAAACCCTCTGCCCCGCATCCCGCCACCCCCCATCACCTCGACCTCACCCCCCCAAACCCTCTGCCCTGGAACTCACCACACCCCACAACACCTCCAAACCCTCTGCCCCAGAAAACCACCACAGCCCAGCACCCTAAAGCCCTCTCCCTTGGATCTCACTACACCCCATCACCCTGGCCCCTCTGCCCTGAACCCACTGCAGCCTATCGCCCCCAAACCCTCCTCTGCCCTGTCACCCACCACATCCCAGCATCCCCAACTCCCTCACCCCCAAACTCTCCTCTGCCCTGGAACCTGGTGATGCCTCACCTCCCCTGACCCTTCAGGAGTTCTGTCAGGGACAGGAAAACTGCTTTGCTCAGGAACCAAGGTAAAAAAAAAAAAAAAAAAAAAAAAGGAAATAAATTCTAATATATATATATATATATAAAATAAAATTTAATAAATTAATAAATAGACGATATAATTAAATATTAAAATTTTTAAAAGTAAATAAATGCCCCTTCCCAACCCAGATCCAACTAGGCATCGCTGTGTGTGAGCCTGTTGTCCGAAAGGCTCCAGGAGATGCCAAGCCGGTGCCAGACACTGGAGCAGCATGCTGGGCACGTTCTCAGCCCGCTGGGACATGGCTCCTGCAGCCTCTGGGGAGGGTGGCTGTGCTGGAGAGTGTCCTTAGGTGACCAGGAGCTGCTGTCACCACCTGCCTGCAGGTTAAATGACATTTTCCTCCCTCCTTTTTAAAATAAAAGCCAAATCCCTATGGAAGTGCATCTGAGCTGTGGTTAAGGGGCACAATAATACTGGCTGGGGAGGCGACAAGTTGCCTTGTGTCCTAGGGACAGTTGTCCCTTGATGGGGGGTGGGGGGTGAAGGGCAGCAATCCGAATTACCCGGACTTGAAGGCAATTAAAGGGCAATTAAACCATCCCTCTGCACTCTTCCCTGGCACAGGGAGATGGATGGAGTAGGAATAGCGGTGACGGGAGCTCGATGCCATGCCTACAGCAAAAATAGATGTGGTTGGGCTACGATGATGCAAAGCCAGAAGAATCCTTCTCCTCTGATTTCCCCGGCTTTGCTTTCAGGCAGCTCCTGCCTGGCTGTCATTTGTCACTGGCGCAGCAGACTCCCCAGACCCCAGCATATTTTTGGGGTGATTTTAGGCTGAAATGGGTTGTAATGTCCTTTTCAAAGATCTGACCCTCAATCAGGTCATTCCTTCCTCCTCAGGGATGAGCTATTGACAGGAATGGGGCAGGGAGCTGCCAGTTCATCACGTGAGGTCACTGCCACTGGGAAGCAGCAGGAGAAGCATGAGGTTTCAGGATTAATTAGTGCCCATGGGATCCAATACTTATGACTCCTCACTCCAGCTTCTGGAGCTGGATGTAACGGAGCAGTCTCCTGCAAGCACTGGCATGAACTCATCCCTCCTACCCCTGAGTTTTGGTTGTGCAGAAAGAGCTCAGCCACCTTCCACAGATGTTTTCCCAAACTTACAGACCTGGTGCTCTCTTCCCCAGAGTTTTGGGGGATCGGTCTTGCTCCAGTTGTGATGCTCAAGGGGAGGAAAATTTCAGAGCACTGCTACAAAATAGCTGGAGAGGCAGTTAAGTGGTCCTAAAAGCAGTGCAGGATTCAGCAGGAAAGGGAAAGGCATCTTGCAAGGGCAGCCCTGCAGGATCATTACTCTCTGGAAAGGGACACTGGCATGCAACGAGTCTGGGATGCGGCAGCTGGGCCGATACAATGGGCAGAAAAACATGAGAGGTTGAAGGAGGATTTGTTTAGTCCAGAGAAGGGCAGGATAACCTGGTGCCTGTGAAGGGCTGTCTTGAAAAAAAGAGAAACTAGGAAAAAAACGGAACGTTTGGTTGATTGGATACAAAGAGAGAAAGAGGTGCTGTTCCTCAGCTGGAGATTTTGCGGGGAGGTTGGACAAACACCTGGACTCCCACATCCACCCCAGGGCTGCTCCAAAGGGTTCCTGAGTCCCCTCCAAGCTCCGACTGGCCCACAGCTCCGTTTTATCCCAAGCCTTCGGCAAGCCTTTTTCACAGCAAGCAGGTTAGGATCCATCATCCCCCTTTTCTGGTGGAATGGTCTTACTGGGATGCATACTCGGGGCACTGGTTGGGCTCCTATTAATGGATGATTTTGGGGAGGTCCTGGCTGGGGCACCGGTGTTGGATCCCTCCTTGAATCCCACATCCACAGAGGGTGTTGGGAACAGGACAGAAAAGGGACAGAGTGGGAAGGGAGGATCCTGCCTGGAGCCAGCAGGATGTGGTGGCTCCAGAGATTACCCCAGAAGGCTGTGGTTATCCAGCAGGAAAAGCTCAGTGACCTGGCTCAGGAGCAACTTGCCTCAGCTCTCTGACCTATTTTCCCTGAATTCTTAAGGATATTTTTCACTCATTCATCATGCAGAGAATCTCAGGAGAGCTTCATCCACCCTTGTCCTGTCAGGATTGGGAACAAGGCGGGATGCAGTTGCTCATCGCTCTATAGGACTGCAGAGACTACGCAGGACAGGCAATGCCTAAACTAGCTCCCACTAAACCCTGTCCTAAAAATTAACCTTTCCAAAAGGACTTATTTTGCTTTCCCTAGTGTGTTCCAGAGGTGACTCCATGTGGCATGAGATGGAGTGGGATTGGAGCATGCTGCTGGAGCAGCTCCTACCTGCCCTTCACCACCCTGGGCAAGGCACGAGGCAGATCCCAAATTCCAACTAACACAGTGTGGATGAACTGTCTGGACTGTGGGTTTTGGCTTTTGGAAGCCTCCCAGCGAGCCAACGGCACAGCTGCTGCAGAGGTGAGGGAAGAGCATCGAGGACTGGGAGGGAAGCAACCCACTGGGGAGGCTCACGTGGGACATCAGGAGGAGTTTCTTCCTGAAAAGGGCTGTCAGGTATTGGCACAGCTGCCCAGGGCAGTGGTGGAGTCCCCCTCCCAAAAGGGATTTAAAAGCCACATGGATGTGGCACTTGGGGATATGGGTTAGCGGTGGCCTTGGCAGTGCTGGGGGATGGTTGGACTCAATAGTCTTAGGGAGCTTTTCCAACCTAAAGGACTCCATGATCCTCAGAGCACCATGGCCTTGCAGTGCTCACACCAAGTGGGGATCTGGCACAGGGATTTGGGACGCTCTCAAGCACAGGAGCCATGTGACACATTCCAAGGAATGTGTCAACAGGAGGAACAACTTCAGCCCTGGATGGGCCATTATTGCTCAGACGGTTAAAAATAATCACTGCCCTGATCCCGTTGTCCACTCAGGACAAGTAAAGACAGGGAAGTTTTAACAAAAACCTGGATAATTTGTAAATCCCTGACACCTGGTGTGCTGTTGTTGGTCACCTCTTCTCCATGCAGCTGCAGCGTAGGGCCTATTCCTTCAGTTCCCTGCTCCATATGATTTATCAAACTCCTTCTGAGCAAACAGGGCAAGAATTTTCTACCCTACATCAACAGAGAGCATCATTTTTGAGTCTAGAAATGACTATACCATTATTTCTACACAAACCCCTCACATTCTCACCATGAACCACTGTGGAAAGCTCCTCCAACACAAGATTAAAAAGTAATTAGCTCACAGATCCAACTGCCCAGATTCCCAAGTGAGGGATTCAGGGCTGCTTTGAGAAGCAAGAAATGGACTTGAGAAGCACTTTAAGTGCAATTTTTTTTGTGGGACACTAAAGGATTGGTTGATCCTGAAAGGAATGGACAGCATTCACCCCGGGATTCCCTGCAGGTTTTTTGTTTTCTTGGCAAAAATAAGTAGGAAAAGAAAAAAACCAAACTTCTTTTTCTTTTATTTTTCACTTTCGGAAAGCATTTTACACAGGTTTGGATCTTGGGAGGAGTAACTTGGAATCAGTAGAAAAAACTACCTGCACAGTTTTGTCTTTAAAGTAGAAACCCTTCAGGAGTCAAAATGGAGACTAAAAAAATACATGCAAAACATACTCCTTTCAAAACACAACTGGAAACAAAGCACCAACTACACAAATATGCAGAATGAAACAGCACTGAACACCACAGAAGTTGTCCTCATAAAAGGTGTCAAAGTCACCTAATTCACTAGGCACTGTGACCTGGTTAAACAGAAGAGACAATAAAAAAATATTGTCCACAAACTTGCAATTTCAACTCAGAGGCTGTAGCTAGAAATTCCTCTACGTGTCATGCTTTAATAGCGACCTGGAAGAGAAAACAAACACAGTAAAATACACTGTCAACTTCAAGGATTGAGAGATTTGTAGCTAAAGCTCACTGCCTCCCTTCAAACCTGCATTAAATTCTAGAGCCTCATGTCCTGGAGGTAACCAAACTTCTGGTTTAAGAGAGTTCTGGAGGAAGGAACAGGATCTCAACCTCAAAACAAGTGCTGTTATCTCGTTTATTTTCTCCACACTAAACATCTGCTCTGCTCTCAAGGTTGCCAGTTGCTCATTGAACCTTCAAAGGGAAGTGTGGTTCAATAAAAGAACCACACTGAAGTCAATCCTTATGGACACAAAGCTCAGAAGACCTTTCGGGAAAGGGGAAATTTGCTTTTGAGATGTGAACTCTGAGATTAGGCCAGGTCTGGGTCAGGCCACATTGGACAGGGCAACCTGCTCTATGGAAGGTTCCCTGTCATGGCAGGGGGAATGAGATGCGCTTAAGGTCTCTTCCAACCCAACCCATTGCAGGACTCCACGAGTACTTACGAGGTGAGTAGGACCGGGATCTGGACCGGGATCTGTAGCCCCCTCGGCTGTAGTAGGGGGACGGTGACCTCCTCCTGGAGTGGGGGACACAAACAATCCCTTTGTTAAACCCAGTTTTCTGTGGATACCTCTAACCCCACCCCGGTCTGGGGCATGCACTGGGGAAGCTAATGAGCACAGGAAGAGCTGAGCAACATTTCCAGTGGGTAACATGGCAAAGATGTGAATTTCCTTTTTTAACCTTTTTTTTAACACGGGTCCAATATTATTTTTGACTCTCCCAACAGATAAAAGCTCTTGCACTCACAATTTGCCCACATGTGATTTTAGTTTCAAGTCAGGAGCATCCCAAACAACGAGGGTAAGACAAATAAATCCACCCTAATTTTAATCTGAATTATTTGTCCAAGATGAAGATTTATTTGACTTGCAGTCGCTGCTACAGCCAACCCACCCCCAAGCTGCTCCGATCCAGGCACTCCTAAGTTTTGTGTTCCCTTGCCCAGTTCCACTAATCGAGCAAATACCTGTAAAACTGATCCCTGTCCTGAACAGCTCTCCAGCCTCCTCCTCCACCGCCGCCTCCTCCTCTGCGTAAGCAAAAGCAGAAAAACTTTTAAGAATTTAAAAAACAAACAAAAAGTTCATTGTACGAGCAAAAAAACATCATAAACGGTAAGAAAATGATGTCAAGACGAGAACATTGGTTCCTACTCTGGATGATGCTGAATTACTTCATTATGTTCATTTTTACCCACTTAAGGCAGGCCCGTTGAGTTAATAACTTTTTTAAAATAGTGAGATCAACTCAGTACCCTGAGGACAAATGTTGATTCCAAGGTGGAGGTGGGAAACCACCCCCCACCCCAACATTTTAACATTTAAACGAGCTGGGATGCAACTTCTCCTTGTACAGAACAGAAACAACTTATTACAGCATTTAATATTAACTGATTGGACTGGTACCTCCCCAGACTTAGATCAGCAAAGTGTTACTAGAAGGAGACTAAATCAAGTTTAAAGTTTTCTTCAGTTGTGGTTTGGTGATGGTTTTAAGGTTACTCTTTAGCTTATAGATACTTTTCCAGGCAAAATTAAGTCTCCCATGGAAATGAGAAGAAGTTAAAGTTTTAACAGGACAATTCCCATCTGACACTGTATTTCCCTTAAGGTTTTATTTTCACATAGGGCACGGAAGGCAAAGGAATTGTTACTAATTGAATTTTTAGGGTGAGGTATGCTATGCTCCACTGTATCTTCAACAATTCCAAGCCTCCCTTCCTCAGGGAAGCACTCACAACATCCCAACAACTTCTCTCTCCCTCACTCTCTCTCGAACCACCAGGATGAGAGAGTAGCAGATCCCGATATTTTTAAAGCAGCCACACATGAGGCATTTGTGGCTCCATCTTCCTGGAATCATGGAATGGTTCGGGCTGGAAGGGACCTTAAAGCCCATTTTGTTCCACCCCCTGCCATGGGCAGCGACACCTTTCACAGAGCAGGTCATTGTCACTCTCCTGACCCACCTCACAAAACACCTGACCACTGGTCAGGAAGGAAAAGGAACCACTTCAGCACTCAACATTTGGGCACCTGCCACCATCTAAACAAGGAATATTACATTTGAAGGGCACACAAGCAACAGATTTCAAGGACAACCCGCACGCCTCGACTGACCCTTCCTGAGAGAATGAGGAAATCTAAGCTCAGAAGTGCAAGACAGATGGTGCAAAACTCTCATCAAGCACTGCAGAGCCACGTCTTTAGCTCTCCTTGGGTGCCTTTATTCTGATATTTACATCAGAACTCCATACAAAAACAAGGGGAGTGGGAGAAGCAAACCAGAAGTACCATTTAACAGCCTGTGTAGCACCAGAGTATGTTGTAAGTCCTTCCTGTGCCCCAAGATCCTGGTGAGCTGCTTCAGTACTTTGGTTAATTACTTTTATCACATTAAGTGAGGTGAAGTTTTAGCTATGCCAAGCAAGTTTCTACACCTTGTGCTCCAAAACAAGCTCCAACAGCCTTCTACCACATCTGAAAGCCACACACCAATTCTGGCCAAGAATCCAGCTAGTTCCATGAAGACATGGTTGCCATCAGGGAACAAACCTAAATCCACCTATTGCAGAGGCATTAAGGCTTTGCAAAACACTGGGAAGCACTACTACACAATCCTGCAATTACAGGAATGCTTGGTGATTGCAGACAGGAAAAATAAACTCTTGAATTTGTGTCCAGCTTAACAGTGTCCCAGAAACTGTGAGGGTTCCACAGGGGACAAGACTTGCTGGAAAATGCAGAAGACAAACTTCTCCATCACTAGAACCAATTACACCCCAAAGTTGTTTACACACATATTCAACCTTACGAGGTATGTTAAAAAAGCTTTTTAAATGCAAGTGTCCAGTACAGAACAAGTCCGTCACAATCCCCAACTCCTTATTTTTGGCAACATTTGAGATACCGTAATTATCAGGAGACACTGGGGACCACTGAAATTTCTTTTTGACTACTACACTGTGCTCAATATCTAAGCTGGCACTGGAATCCCGATTCAAATATCAGATCTGAACCATTTCAGTGCTAATAGATGAATCAACCAAAGATTCTTCCAAAAGCAGAGTATAAAAAACACACTCAATGCAGACTAAGAAAACATTATGGACTAAGTCATGCCACAAGTTAAACACCACAAAGTATTTCTCAGTGTGACCAATGTGATTTGTCATTTTGGTGACGATTTTAAAGGAAGGTTCCAGAATGACACTGAGTGCAAAACTATTTTGTCACACTTACGTAGGATTAGCTGCATCATGCCTGTGCAGGTAGATGACAAAGCAGAGTTTAAAAAGCAGTGAAATACTCCAAACCCCCTCACCTGTATGACCTGCTGTAATAGTCCCTGTCGTCGTACCCTCTGTCGTACCCTCTGTCATAGTAATCTCGTCGTCGGGAGCTGCCACTGAGGAAGGAAAGAGGGTTTATTTTATCAGATATTAAACTTCCACATTGTTCACAGTCATTTAAGTTCACAGTGTTTAAACTGGGTTATGTATTACCTCCCATCCTCACAGCTGAAAAGACCAATGCAGGTGGGAACAGGACTACTTAAATAATTGCTTTTTAAATGCTTGAACTTTCAGCCAGGTCCTTTCCTCTCCGGTCTGTAACCTCTTAACCTTTTGGTATCACAGGCACAGGAGGAATTCCATTCTGAGACAGCTCTTCATTCACTCTGAACTCTGAGCAAGCTCCACGTGAATGAACTTTCTGACTACAAAAATAACCTGCAGTCTCAACACAACATCAACATAACCACCAGTGCGCTGAAAGTCTTGGGAAATCAACTGGGGAATGACTTGGGAAAACAATTTACATTCTCAGCAACTGGAAGTCAGAAATGTACTGTGTGGATAGGGTAAACTGCTAATCCCAAATATTAATGAAGCCATACAGCTGCTCCATCAGCATTTCATGATGTTCATTCACTCTTGAAAACTTGAGCTTGCAAAGCTTAAAATAATTTAGAAATTAAAAATTGCACTGTAGACTTTTTGAATCCAAAGAGCTGGAAAGAGATGCACTAGTGATGGTTGAGGCAAAAGGCTGATAAACCAAGAAAAAGACTCAGAACCAGGTACCTTAGAGGGAAAACAACAATTCTTATAAAACACAAGGCAACTAATCCTGGTTTGGAAAAAAAATCCCTACATAGGTAACTTACTAAGTGGGTCTTCCCATGTAGATTCCAGGGGTAGGTGTGTGAGGTCTTTTCGTTATGGAGAAGTCTACCCGGATCCTTCTTCCATCCAGCTCCATTCCATTGGCACGTTCCTTTGCCTAAGGAATGATAAAATACCATCAGCTGTGGGCATAAACTTTGGTATCAATACAGATTTCTAACCATTGTTTTAAGTGTTAAAGTCCTAAAAAGGCTCAGTTTGGAGCTAGGTCTGATTTACTTACACTTTCTGTGTAGCACTGAACATAAAGCATAAGACGCTGTAGACTAGTAGGACTTAAACATCGGTAACCACTCAAAATGTGATTTATAAGCCATTAAAAGCCTGAAAGGAACATAATTTAACAAGTGTAGCAGTGCCTCTAACATGATTAAGAGGAACCTTTGAACATGCTGATATAGGGAGATGCAACTACTCCAATACACAAGGAGCAGCAAATAATTCAGCAGTTAACTAAGAGCACTATGTTGATTTAAGTGTTTTCTCTCCTCCAACACATGCCTTAAAATAACTGTAACCATGAATATAATGATATCAGTCATAAGTAAATCTGAATTAAAGAACCCAGAATAATTGTGGCTTGGGTTTTTTTTCCTGCCAAGTAGCAGGACCTACACCCAAAGCTCCAACCCCATGTGGAAGCCTTTATGCCAGATGTGGAACAGAAGACACTGGAGAGTTTCAGGAGTGGGATTTATGCAGAATATAAGCCTGGTTCCAGGCCATGAGCACACAGCTCTGCAAGGGTTGGCACTGGTGTAGGATTCTCCATTGGGTGAGCACAGAATTCCCCATTTATTCTGTAGCATTCACAAGCCCAAATTCCATGATTATGAGATGCCAGGTACTTTTCAGGCCCTGAGCTCACCCAGGTGACAGAATATACACCCATGCAAGTGAGAGCCCACAAACATTCCACACGTTGTGCACCCCAACCTACTTCCTTGGCATCCTCCACATTCTCAAAGTACACGAAGGCGAATCCTCTGGAACGTCGGGACTGCTGATCATACACGATGGAAACATCAGCAATGGGCCCGTACTTGGAGAAAACTTCTCTCAGATCCCTTTCTGTGGTGTAGAGACTCAGCCCAAACACCCCGAGACAACAGTTTGGGTCAGGATTTGCCTAAAAGGGACAGACCGACATTAGGAGGAAACAGGTTTGTGTTTGCAGTGCAGGTTGTGATTGCCAGGGCTCCAAGATAAAACAAAGATGGGGCTGAGATTTGGGCTGGGTCACCTGCTAATGGAGACACTGTCACAATCCAGAGGAACACAGTCCTCCTCTCACAGAACCCCTTTGTATTCTCAGGGTACAGCACAAGCCATCCAGGCTGAGGGACTGCAGGTTATGCTCAGGACTGTGAGTCATTCCTGACCAGACATACCCTGTTCCCGATGTGACGTCTTCGAGTCGACATGGGGGAGTGGCTGTGGCTGTGCCGGCGTCGATAGTCCCGACTGTACGACCTGCTCCTGGATCTCCTGTGGGAGCGGGACCGGGAGCGGGAGCGTGTGTAATGCCTGCGGGAACTCCTCCTTGATCTAGATCTGAGGAAAGAGAGGGACAGTGTTGGCTTTGTTTGGGGGTTTTAACTCTCCAAAAACACATCACAGTCACAAACAGCTCATTCTTTAAAGTCCTGCAGTCCCACTACCTTCACTTATAATCAATTTAGTTGCTACTCACAAGGACTCTGTGCTAAATAGTCACTCTCAGATTCCTGCAGGAACTTCTCCCTGACTTTAGTCAATTTTTAACTTCCTTTAACAAGGCTCTCTTGGTTTGACATAGTATTGCTTAGAATATTCAGTATCTAGGTAAAAACAGGTGGGGTGGCTCTCTTTTAAACCTTAGGAGATAAAGGGAATCTGAGTACAGTATAACCTAAAGCCTGCACCACTGCAGAGGGGGCACTGAAAAATAAATGCACTTTTAAAGTCTGGCAAACACCCCTGGAACAGAGCTTAACACAATCTGCAGAAATTAAGCTGCAGCAGCTCCTTTACCTGCTGGTATTTCAGCAGTTGTTTATCAATGCTGACATGTTCACACTCCAAGTGTATTCAGACAAAGGTGCAACTGCTCACCGATTTTTTTTCCCCCAGGGAATGTCTTCTGACAGCACAAGCTCTGTGGACATGAGGTTCTGGAACACTTGCATTCCTTCTCCCAGACTCTCAGCCCTCCCAGTACAGCCAATCCTAGGGGAAAAGCTAGGCAGGCACTTACACTGGGGTACTACACCTGACCTTGGCCTGTGATGTCTGCACTGAATAACCTGAATTTTACACCACTCCCATGAAAAATCCCTGCAAGGTTAAGAAGTGCAATTAACAGTTTAATAGTCAATAGATCTAAGCCATAAATTGTTGATTTTTAGACTCTTTTGTCTTAGATGTCCTTCCTCCAGTTCCACAGCACCACCACACCGGCATGAATGAAGCTCTGAACCTGAACTGGTTTTTACTCCTGAGCATTTAACAGCTTCTTCCAAAGCCAGGATTTCTCCCCACTTGTCAACACACAACCAATACAGGACAGATCTCCTGAAAAAACACCTCCAACCTCATCAGCAGTGAGCCAGATAAGCTCAACTTGAAATATATATCCAAGCCCAGGAGAAATTAATTCAGCATATCCCATTACAGCACTTTTAACTACGTATTTAGAAAGAAAACATTATTTTTGGTAACAGAAAGTTTACAAAAACAAAACAAAAAGAACTTCCCTGAACTGGGAAGACAGAAAAAAAAAAAAAAAAAAGACTGAAATAGTAATAATAATAAAAGAGGTTCCACACATGCACACAGCCACATTTTAGCCAAATATAGGAATAAAAAAATAATTCAGGCAAACACAGAGTTGATATTCCAGGTACCAGAAAGGTCTAGCCAAAGATAACAAGCTGCACACTTCAATAAAAGTAGATTTTTAAATCAGGTATATCCACACCCCCAATGATAAAAGCATCAGGACACAGGTTGGTTCCCAAATCAAAGTTTAATTTACAAAGCTGGTAACTCAAAAATACATTTGCAACAGAAACTACCAAGAAATATTAAAGTTCTCAGGGTTATTTCTCTGAGGAGAGCCAGATTTAAATTATGTGCCTGTGACCACATCCCAAGGTGTGACAGTACTGAAGAGAGATTAAAATACAGTGTTTCTAAATATGTGCCTTGACACAATTCCACCCAAACCTGCTGAAGAACAGTAACCCTGCTCTACAATTCCAGTATTTCCAGCCATATGCATCTTCAAGACAGCTGTTAAATGCTCAGGAAGCTGTGGTAGTCATAAACCACTACTTCTGGTCATCAAAAATTACAAAGCCAGTTGCCAGGGTATTGTTTAAAGACTGATTTCTTGTAAAAGTAAATGATTTGCCAGGTCTCTTGAGAATTCTAGATCTTGTATTTACTTCTTCAGAATTTTATACAATTTGTGATTGCACTCTTACTCAGTATTATGGTTATTCTGCAAGTGGGAAACGTGGGTATGGAATCCCTGAGGTTGTGGATTAAGGGGCAGAAGGACATGCTGGGTGGGCTCCTGACTTTACTGTAGAATTAGAAGGTTCCCCAGAGGTGTTTTGCAGCCTCCGCCCCCTGAGGTTTTCAAACCCCAGCTGGACAAAGCCCTGAGAGCAGAGTCTGAGGCCAGAGCTGACTCTGCCTTGGGCAGGATCTGGGACTAGACCCTTCCTGAGCTCCCCTATCCCTCTCTCACTGCTGCCACTTCCAGAGGTCCCTCCAATTCCATCCTCTTCAAGTGTTTATTAATTTAATTTGACACATTTGTTCCTGCACTCCAGGGACTGCCAAGCGCATGATTTCACACTTGTGACTGTGCCTGAATTGGACAATAAACCTTGTTCTTCTGCTGTCAAAACCTCCTAACCATTTTCCTCCTCACAAAAGCCTTTCACTTTGATCTTGCAAGGTCTAACACAGTATTTGTGATTGCTAATAGCACAGAATATCCCAGTGTTACCATCCTCCCCCCATGCTTTGGTAATTCCCTGCTTGTTCACATAAAAAATACATTGTGAACAGCTTAACTGGAACCTCCTCTCCTAAACCCCACTTTTTTTAACCTGAATGCCTACAACCGAGTGAAGAAACCATCAACACATTAATTTCTGCAGTCAGCACTCAACCATCTACTCTTTTAAGAGGAACGCTGCCCCTGCACACATATCAGTGTGTAAGGAGAGGTAATACAGGGCAAAAGGTACGTTCACAGTGTGTTTGTGCTGCCATGTAACAAATACAACAAGCAGGTTACTTTCTCCCCAACTCTTTTTGGGAGCTTGGAAAGCTGTCTAGTATTTAAAGCTTCCTAGCCTGTTAGTTTTTAAGTTCAATTAATGTATTTAAAAGGTCAGACTGCAAAATTCACATTTATCTCTGCAGTTGCTTTTTATTACCTACTCCAGAAACACCATGAGAAAACGTAATGTGACCTAAACTGGGCAATCCCACGAAAGTTCCTACCACTCCCTGCTCAGAAACAAGTCAATATTCCAAGAGGTAAAAGGCAGTGGGTCAGAGGGGATACAAACCTACAGAGCTGACTACCTCCTATGTAGCTGACTCTTGGAAAAAGCTGCAAAAATCCCAATCCTGAAACCACTCGTGCCCCTATGCATTCCATGGCCACAGATTCCCCAGTAACTCTGGGAGCAGAACCGGATGAGCTGGACGTCACCTCAGACACAACCACCTGAGTTGTGAAGAGGAGGAAGAGGTAAAAGAAGCAAACTCACCTGGATTCAGACCTGGATCTAGATTTTGACCTGGAGCGCCTGGAATCCTCCTTAGAGCGAGATCTTGCAGGGGTGTGTCTCCCCGACTTGCCAGATCCATGAGCACTTCCACTTCTGGAAGCAGAGCGGGATTCCTGCACGCAGATATTGAAAGCCTAATTTGGACACAATTCCTCTTTTACCTACGGGCTGCAAACAAGCTCCAGTGAAATCAATGGAAATATTCATAGCTACGTGTCCGGGCAGTCGGATTAGCACTGCCTAGATTGTTAAGGAGGTTGTTTGTTGTTTATTTGCTTGGTTTTTTTTTTTTTTTTTTTTTTTTTCCCTGGTAGACACTTCTTTACCCTGCATGTACTTTTTGCTATTAAACAGATAATGCATGCATGTTTAGCAAAATATACAGGGACACATAAACAGACTAGTAATTACTTAGCGTAGTGCTTTCAGATTCCAGATTACTTCTTATCTTAACTTCATTTTTATTCCTTTTCTTCATTCTTCCGTTTCAAATTCTGACTTCTTTCATCTTCCCCACTTCACACAAATTGCTCAATATTCTACAAGTGGGACTTCTGGTCTGATAATTAGCATGCATTCACTTTCTTTTTTTTCAAATTTCAGCTTCACTTATTCCTGAGCTTCAAATAATTCTCATTTATAAAACTTGTCAAATGGCGACTTCCGCATTTTCCTTCTTCAACATTAACCTTAATAGAAAAAGAACAGGATGAAGAATATTTAAGAACTCCAGGATAAAATCTAGTGCCAAAACTGAAACTAGAAAAAAAAAAGTGCTATGGACTTTTACTATAAATGCAATTTAAGGACTGAATCTACCAAAGCCCTATGATTTTATCAACAGGTTCAGTCAACTCAGTTTAACTTTACACTAAGCAACTGAATTTGCTATTTATGCCTGTATTTAATATAGCAAGTGCAACTGGATCAGCTGAGTACCTACTAAGGAACTGTAACATCAGGAAACTCAATTTGTACTGTCAGCCACACAGTGAGACAAAATCCACTAGAATTGACTCCAGGAAGGTCCTGTTGCAGCCACTGACCGATGTGCTTTTGAATGCAGAAAGCACGACATGGTTGGGCCTTCAGTGAGCTCCAATAATCTGAACTTTGGGTCATTTTGCAGTTGAGCAGCCCTGGTGTGAATATTTCTGAGCACACTCACCCCACCTGCCTGCACAAGAGGAGGTTACACATCTGGGCTTTGTGCTTCCATGGAAATCAGCATTTTCCACCGCCCAAAAATGCCCCATGCTCCAACAGTGCTCCGCAATCACACCCCACCTGCTCTGTTATTTACTGGTAATCTGCTTTGGTACTGAGATAACCTAATTAGCAGTTTCAACTTATAGATTTTTATCTTTAGATCAGTTGAATGCTTAGCTTCAGTCACATGCCTTCAACACCTGAACACACCAGGAGGTATTCTGAATTTCAAGGTATTAGAGGAAATTTAAAATTCAGCAAAAATTCTACTTCTTCCTAAAAAATAATTCTACATTTAGTGTAAACTGTGATGAAGAATGATCATTAATGACATCACAGTACCAGATTTTCGTCAAAAATCCCTTCTTTTAGCTGTGCAGCATCTCAAACCCGAACACTAATTTAACAGGAATCTTGGACTGAGCATTCAGAAATCCATTTGCTAACTCAAAATTAATCAGGCTTAAACCACTTCCATACAACTTAACCCAAATTTTAGCTCTTTACAATTCCCTACCATACAATATTAGGGGGAAGGAGGGGGAAAGGGTTGACTTACAGAATAAAGCAGATTTTCAATTAATTCCAAGAGCAAGAGAAATTACCCAAAGTTGTCAAGGTCATATTCTTTGTTCAAATTTGTAAAGTTTTGTTCTAAACTACAGTTGCCCCATATACTGACCTGCAAAGGGCAAGGCAAACACTGAGAAGTAATTAAAGTTACAATTAGCAGATTTAACCTAAATTCATTACTACCTTCAAAAGGAAACATTCCACAGAGACGAGTTCTGAGTTAATGTATTAATTTAGCCATAAGAAGTCGTAACTCCTAAAAAGTTAGACAAAGCAAGATTGAAGAAGGGTTAAAACCCAAAACTAGCAGTTCTTCATGTGAGGAAAAATACTTTAATTCACAAAAGATAATTTGGCAAAACAGAAGGAGCCATGTCCAAATACAGGGGGACTGATGCTGGAAAGGACAGGAGAAATGCAGGATGAGAGGGAAGCAGCAGGAAGTAGCTTGCCCACAAACACACCCCAAACCCTTTGCATAGCTTTTAAAAGTCAAAAACTTTGAAGAATCAGGAGAGAATTGGTGAATCTTTATTTATTTGGTAGGTTTCTCGGGTAATCTTTGCTGTATTATGTTAAGGTTGATGTGGGATCTGGACAGAGGAACAGAAACTTGAGAAGAAAAATCCTGTGAACAACTGTCTCTCAAATCAGAAAATCGAACTGTTGGTTCATTTTCATCCAGCTCCTTTGGACTTCACAGCATTTCCCAGTTCTTAAACATCCACATTTTGTTTCTAGATTATCCCCAATCCACATTTTACAGGATTATGCCACTTCTTTATTCGAGCCTCAAAGGAATTTGTTGCACCTCACCTACTCCAGATATCACTAGGACTGGTAAAACCCCCCAAAATTTCCCAAGTTGTCACCCTTCACACCCCAAACCCCAAGAAATCCTCCCTACCCAAAATTCCATGAACCAGGAGTGTGCAGCATTCCAAACTTAGTTTACACCCTGTTACCCCTGAAGGTTCACACCAGTCATTCCCACAGCTCACTGAAATTGGAGTTTCTCCTATCTGATTTTGTCATCCTGTATGTTCTCTTCTCCTTCTTTTTGCTCTTTCCCTCCGTTAATTTAAAGTTATTTAAAATGCCAAATTGTCTCCTGTGATGCCATGTGGAAGAGGAAATAAAGATCCTCCTTTATCCTGCCTATATTCCAGCACTGCTGGTCAGCAGATCGAGACTCTTGCCACTACTAAACGATCTTGGTTTTTTCCTAACCTTGAGTTTGTCCAGTGTGAATTTAAAACCCCACCAAATCCTTGATCTTTACCAACAGTTCTTCCCCTTCCTCAGGCATTACTGGAATTCAGGTGGAAGCCCTGAAGTCCAGGCTTGTGGTTTCCAAGTGATTCTTTCCAGACTTTAAGCACATTAAAACCAAAGTGCGATACTGCAGGGATGGTATTCTGAGCAGCTCTAAGCAAATTCATAAAGAATGTCACGGTGCTCCAGGAGAAGGGATGTCATACAGCAGGATGATTTGGGGGGCAGGAGGTAGGAAAGGTTTCCATGGGCAGAAGCAGCTGGAAGGTCTGTGATGGCCACAAATTCTTTACACTTCTCAGATTCAGTTTTTCCTCACAGGAATGCAAGGTACAGATTTCAGTCAATAGCATAAGATAGAGAAATAAAAGTATTAGGGTCTTCATAATCAAAGATTCCTATAAACTTATGTATTTCCACTTGTTTTCCTAAAGAAAGGTGCAGCCTCACATGTCACATCAGATCTGCAGCACGTTTATCCAAGGTGTGTCTGTGCTGACTTCACATTCCTCGACCTCTCCACTATGGAATTTAGCAACTGAGCCAACAAAAAATCAAGAGCTTTTGCCTCTTCCCCCTGAGGGACACAATCACAGCTCAGATCTCTGCTGGGGGAAGCCTGGAGGGAAAAGCAGAATCACCCCTTTCCACAAGTTTTTAAACTCCACAAAAAAAGAAAAGAATGTGTTTTGAAAAATCAAGGTAGAGCTTCCTCCTACCACCTGTGCCACTGGTGCTGACCCTGGGGGCTCCTTCAGTGCCCCAGGCCGGCAGCGAATTAATGCACCAGCAAAACCCAAATTATTTTCTGACAGCTTTGGGTACTGAATCAACCCCCCAAAAGGTCAGATCAGGTGTCAGCTGGTGAAGGAAGAACACAGGGAATGATCCATCCTTTTGGAGGCATGAAGCTATAAAACCTTGTCTATAAAACCTTCTCAAACTGCCTCCCTAGACCTCCCTCTGCCACAACTGAGGAATAAAAGTCACTATTTTTAAAAATACATTATTGAAATACCTTGCTAGTTATCTGGAAATTGAGCATTTATACCATGCAAGTCACTCTGATAAAAAACAGAACAACACAACACACAAATAAAGCCCTGACTCACACTGAAGTTTCTGATCATAAATCAACCCATCGTTATCAGAATTAACTAATTCCTAGGATGAGACTCTATTTTTCCCTTTAACTAGACTTTTTCCAACCCCTTCATGCCTGAATCCCATGAACTTCCATGACAACAATTTCAATGAAAACAAAATAAACTTGGCAAACCCTGGCACTGCAGCACAGTGACAGTATCTGAAGCACATTCCAGTATTTGAAGTATTGGTGGCAATTCATAGCTCCTTCAGTCAAAAAGTTTTTCATGATGGAGCATAAGCTGTAAAAGAGACTTCAAGTGGGGTCTTTTTTCCTTCTTTATGTTTTTCTTTTTAAAAGTGACACAAAAGCCAGTGTAAGTTTGTGCTGCTGCTGAAATACCAAATCCCCTTAGCGGCAAAAGCACCTGGAATTTCTCCTTCACCCCGTAAGGACTCATCATTGCAGTCAGGCCTGCAAACCAGTGCAGCTGGAAACGGGATAAAAAAAAAATCCAGCTGATTGAATTCCCAGATCTGACTGCCTGCAGAACAGTACAAGGGAGAGAGCAGGACCACATTTTCAGGAGCATGATTCCTTTTGGTAGCCTGGCCTTCCCATCCCAGATTATTTACCCAAACACTGACTCTACTCTGCAGAGACTTGAGCTTGGAAAAGTAGAAAAGCCATTGACCCAGTGAAATAAAAGCCTTAAATAAGCAAAAAAATCGCCCTAAATAACACTGTCAACAGCATTAGAAAAGCCAATCCCTGCTCCAGTCTGGAACAGCAGGCCTGGAACTCTTTGCTTTAGCTTTACAAACGTGTCCATTGCATACAATTCATCTACTTAAAAGTCAAAAGAGTTCACACAAAACTCATTTGAAGCCTCGGCAAAAACTGCCTAAAGACATTTTATGGTTTTGTCTTTTTTTTTTTAAATAAAAATATAGAAAAACAACAAGACAGCAATTCCTACCCCAAAACCCTGCATGGTGATGTTTCACTAAGACTTTGCTACAAAAGTTTTAACATTTCCACTCATTCTGACCGAAAACACAAGGCAGGTTATCCTGGCAAACTTTATTAAGCTTAAACTGGTCTCCACTGCGACTTGCACAACAATTAAAAAAAACAACTTTAAAAAAACCTGACACCCAAATACCCACCTTGAGCAAATGCTGCTCCCTCACTAAAGCCATACCAGTGACATGAACATATCAAGGAAGGAGAACATCGGGGGTGGCATAAGTCAGTTCCTTAATCCCCGTCTTTCACCGCTCATTCCCCTTTTTAACTTCCTAGAAACCAAATTTTTCTAACCTCACCTCCCTTGAAGCAGAAACACTCCAGTATCACACCTTATTATGTGAATTAGTAAGGAAAAGCCGTATTCTGAGGAAGACATTGCTCAGGATTACTACGTTTTTTAATATTTTTTGTCGCCTCCAGTTAAGAATTTAACTCCTTATCACCTCCACAGCTCCCTCCGATGCTGCAGCGAGTTAGGAAGTTAAAATTATGCTGAAAAAAAACCCAAAACAAAGTAATGACCCCAATTCAAAGGAAAACAAAGCTGGTCCACTAAATAAAAAATAACTGACTGTTAAAGAGGTCACCTGTACCGCAGATGTGCCTCACAAACGTGAGGCTTAGCACCTCGTCTACTTCGGTATTAGTAGAAAACCCACCCGGACAGTGAGATCTTAGAATATCTGTGAAGTTTCAAAGAATATCTGCTGCAAGTTTCACAAAGCGAGGGGGTTGCCTTCGACTATTAGGTTTAAATAAGAGCCCGAGCCACCTGGACGTGAGGCAGGAGCAGAGCTATTGTTACAGGTGACAGACAGCAAAAGGTAGATAATTCAGAAAGCAGCTCCAAGAGCGGGCTGGAAGGCGGTTCTAGAGAGAGGAGCGCAGAGCTGCCGCTGCCCAGGGGCGGGACGGAGGGCGAGGGGCCCCTCAGGGCCCGGGGCCGCCATTTTGTCCCTCCCGGTCGCGCTGTCCCGGCCCAAGATGGCGCCGGGTGCCTCACGCGGGCGCGCGGGGAGCGGCCCCGCCAACATGGACACCGCCTCGGCCGCCTCCCTTGCCCGCCCGCCAGCAGGACACGGGGGATACGGGGAGGGGGGGACATAGGGGCGGCCGCGCCGCCCGGAGGAAAGGGGCTGAAAGGGAGGGGATGGAGCCCGGCCGCGCAGCGCGCTCGGGCTCCGCGTATTACCCGCTCGCCGTAGTTCTGCTCCCCACTGTCGCTCATCGCCCCGTCCCGCTGCTCACGTTCTCACTCCCGCTCCCACCGCCGCCCCGACCTGACCGCACTGTCCGCGGCCACCGCTCCGCCCACACGGGAAGTGACGCGCATGGGGGGCCGCGCGCGGGCCCCCTTGGACACACCCCCTGAGAACTTTGGTCCCACCCCGTGATTGAGGGACCACGCCCCCTAGCATGAAACCACGCCCCTGCAGTGCCTCCCACCGGGAGACAGGCCTCGCCCACGGATCGGAGCAAGACCGCGCCCATCTGAGACCACGCCCTTATGCCGCCCTCCTTGCGGTGAAGCCCCGCCCTCTCCGCCCCTCAGGTGAGGCCTCACCGACCGGGAGGTGAAGGATACGCCCCCGAGTTGCTCACCTTGAGGTGAAGGACACGCCCCAATGAAGCCCCGCCCTCGGAGAGGCCACGCCTCCACGAAAGCCACGCACTCCGCCCCTAAGGTGATGTCGCGCGCTTCAGGTGAAGCTCTGGATGTGGCCCTTCGCTTTCCACAGGACGCGGAAACCGCTTAAAAACCTGGTTACAGAGGGCTTTTTTTTGAGTTTTAAGGCGCCAGTTCAGCGCAGATGGGGAGAGGGGAGCGGGATGTTTCTAAGGCGGCCTTTCGAGGGCAGCAGAGCATCGCCCAGCTGGCGTTTTCCCTCGGTCCTTGAAGTTATTTCTCCATAAAACCCGTCCAGCGAGGAGAGGCAAACACCTTTTCTCCGTCACGGCTGTTTTCTGTCACAAGCAGCACCACTAAAGCATCGTCACCTCAAAGGATGTGCAGGGATTAACCCTGAACACCCCCATGGAGAGGACTGCCAGGATTTAAAGCACACACCTCCAGTTTAACCCTACACCGACTTACTCTGTGCTTGTCATACCACAACATCGCATGAGGCTTGGAGTCTGGAGACAGGAGGAGACATCCCACCTACTCAGCTCATCCCAGGGAATCCCAGAATGGTTTGGGTTGGAAGTGACATTAAAGCTCATGCCATTCCACCTCCTTCCCCTATCTTGGGTTGCTCCAAGCCCCACCCCCGTCCAAGATGACCTGGACTAGGCCTGACCTATCTTAGAGTTCTAATCTGCTTCCATCAGCTTCGACGCTCATGAGGAGACACAACCCAGAGGCTGCTTGGCTGCCTTCCATCTCCCTCCCAGCCCCAAGAACATGAAGGTGAATTTACCAGATAAAGGTGAAGGTGAAAGTATTTTCGCAGCTTTTGCTGGTTTAACCCCCACATGGGGTTTTTAATACCACAGGGGTTTTTTTTGGTCACTTTTCAAGGGTTTCATCTCAATGCTTTATAGCATTACAGGGTGTTACAGCACAGTTAGTGACACAGTGATCATCCTCAGCCAGAATGGACAAGCCACCACAACCCCAGCAACCCCACCCTGTCCCTGAGAGCATTGTCCAAACCCTCCTGGAGCTCTGGCAGCCTTGGGGCTGTCCCCACTGCCCTGGGGAGCATGTTCAGTGCCAACCAGCCTCTGGGGGAAGAACCTTTCCCTGAGATCCAACTTGAGCCTGCCCTGGTACAGCTCCAGCCATTCCCTGGGTGCTGTTCCTGGTCCCTGAAGGAAGAGATTGGTGCTACCCCTTGTGAGGAAGCTGCAGATCCCAGTAAGGTCTGACCTCAGTCTCTTCCAGGTGAACAGACCAGGTGCCCTCAGCCTTTCCTTTTATTGCAGGAAGTTTAATGGCCATTTGTTTTCCAGCCCTTGGTCTATATTTACAAATCTAGGCAGTCCTTGACCCTTGGAGATTGTAAACCCCAAAACTCTGCCCACCAACCTCATGCAGAACAAGGCACTGCCCACCCCTCCTCAAGCTCTTCCCCCCCACCAGTGGGACTGAGGAGACACTGGCAAGGATAAATCAGCTGGAATTCCCTAGGAATGAGGGCCTATCCCAGTGGTGGCAGGCACTCCAGTGCTCCTGAAAATGCTCTAAGTAGAACAGGGCACAGGGGAAGAGAGACAGCTGATCTGAGAGTGCTCAGATCATTCATGTTTAAATTTGGGTAACCAAGAGCTGGGGGAACCTCTGTACCCTTCAGGAACACCTGAGGCTCTGCAGCAGTGACAGACCCGTGAGATGATCCCAAGGGGATTATCTCCCTGCTCCCAGCAACACCCAGCCCTTCCTTTATCTTTGTGTTGGGACTGCAACTGGATTTAAGAGCCATTTTTTGTTTGCTTAAGCCATTTCTAGCTTGTATTTCCATGTGAACGTGGATTTGGGGGCCTCCTGGCCATGTTCTCCACAGCCACGTTCCCGTCAGAGTTTATAAACCCCCTTGTGCAGTTACAGTCACAGTCTCTCCCTCAGTCAGTTTGCAGATGACACCAGGTTGGATGGGATGTGGATCTGCTGAGGGCAGGAAGGCTCGTCAGAGGGATCAGGACAGGCTGGATCCATGGGCTGAAGGCAACAGTGTGAGGGTTAATAGGGCCAAATGCCAGGTCCTGCATTTGGGTCACAACAACTCCCTGGAAAGCTCCAGGTCTGGGGCAGAGTGGCTGGAAAGCTGGAAAACTCCCTGGGAGTGCTGGTGACAGAGGCTGGTCAGGAGCCCAGGTGTGCCCAGGTGGGCAAAGAGGCAAAGGGCACCTGGGCTGTGTCACAACCAGTGTGGGAACAGGCCCAGGGCAGGGATTGTCCCCCTGTGCTGGCACTGCTGAGGCATCTCCAGTTCTGTGTCCAGTTCTGGGCCCTTCATTTCAGGAAGGCCTTTGAGGGGCTGGGGCGTGTGCAGGGAAGGGAACGGAGCTGGGAAGGGGCTGGAGCAGCAGGAGTGGCTGAGGGAGCTGGGGGGGGGCTCAGCCTGGAAGAAAGGAGGCTCAGGGGGGACTTTCTGGCTCTGCAACTCCCTGACAGGAAGGGGGAGCCAGGGGGAGTTGGGCTGTGCTCCCAGGGAACAAGGGACAGGAGGAGAGGGAACAGCCTCCAGCTGTGCCAGGGGAGGCTCAGGTTGGATACTTAGGAAAATTTAATTCCTGGAAGGGCTGTCAGGTATTGGCACAGCTGCTCAGGGCAGTGGTGGAGTCACCATCCCTGGAGGAATTTAAAAGCCATGTGGACGTGGCACTTGGGGACGCGGGTTAGTGGTGGCCTTGGCAGTGCTGGGGGATGGTTGGACTTGATGGTCTTAAAGGTCTGGACTTCAGTGCTTTGTCATCACTGGTTACAGCTGAAATGCCAACATAAGGAGCAATTTCCAGTGCTCACAGTGCCCTGTAGAGACACTCATTATCAGTTCCTTTTGCCAGTAACACATATTCCATGAATACATTTACATGGGAATTGGGATCCTGCTGATTTGCAAATCCAAAAGTAAAATATGATGTTTCTTCATACAAAGTGTGTGATGCATAGGAAGAAGCCTGGAGGGATCAGGATGATACATCCCCCATTTATAAGAAGACCAAAAAACATGGATAACGGGCAGAACATTGGAGTCAAGGTGAGCCAGGAAGCTCCTTCTTGCCTTATTCCTTGGGGAAAACCCCATAGATTTAGTGAAGCAGAGCAAAGGAAGCCAAAACATTGTAGTGAATTTAAAAAGGATCTGGAGAAGAGTACAAGGAGGTACAGGGAGGCAGAGGGAGCTGAGCCAGCCCCGTCCTCTCCACTCAGATCTGTCAAGGACAACGACACCTTGCAATGAAAATGTCCCTCGCAGCTCAGCTGTTTCACCTCTTAATCCTGCTCCTTCCTCACATCCCCCTTTCGTAACTCAGTGTCACAGAAGAACAAAGGTTAAGTGGAGATTAAGAACATTTAAGTGAAGATTAAAGATTAGGAATGAAGAGTAAATAAAAAGTCCTGAGTAGGAAACCCATTTGTGGCAAGGAGCTGCTGTAACAGCCCCCAGAACAGCAACTTCCCTCTGTCCAGTCATGTGCAACCCCCAAAATTGACCCTGAGTGTAGCAAAGTGGCTCGTGCCTACACTGCTGAGGTCTCTGGGCTGCTCTTACCGCTTCCAAATCAACTCCAAATCAACCTTCCAGCTGTTCGTCAGCTGGGCAAAGCACTGAAGTCTATCCATAGGTCCTTTCAATCTGTTTGAGATTAAACTTTTGATGTTGCTTTTCCAGATTTTTTTCCAACAGATAATCAACCAAAGGAAAAAAAATTGCGAAAAGAAATGTGGAAATTCTTAAAATTCCTGATTCCAAGTGCATTTGATATTGTTTCATAAATCCACCCTCACAGTTTCTTTCCAGGATTGATGGAATGAGCATCCCCTGCTGTATTTGATATGTTTACCACATAAAAGGTTCACTCAGGGGTGCTAATTTGGCTTTCCCTTACTGATTTGCAGGCTGTGAAAAAATCCACACTTCTGAAAGTTATGGAAAGGTGTTTGGATTTTTTTTCCAGCGGCGCATTCTGATCCCAACGTGTCGGGAGCTGCGGAGACAGCCTGGCAGTTCCCAGCTCCCCTGCTCCTCTTCTGCCCCCACACAGCACTCGGACACGCTCCCAGAGCGCACAGACACCACATTTGGGAGTGAGCCAGCTCGAGAATCATTAGGGAACGTCTGGCAGCTCTGCTGCCAGCTGGGACAGACAGTCTCTCAAAGAGCTTTTCCATGGCAGCGTGTGTGGCACCTTTTTCCATGTGAGATCCCACTGCCATCCCACCAACCCCTTCCCAGCTCCATGCTTCCCAGAGTTCTGCCACACCAGCACTTGTGCAGCTCCTCATTGGAAGGGGATTGGAGAAACGGTCCTGCTGGGAATCATCTTTATCCCCGAGTGCCGGCTCACCTTCCTGCCGAAAGAGCAGATGGAAATGAGCGGAACAGAATGGTTTAGGTTAGAAAGGTCATCCAACCATAAACAAGTCCACTGCTTGTTCCCTGGGAACAGAACCTGACCCCCTCCGGCTCCCCCCTCCTGTCAGGGAGCTGCAAAGCCAGAAGGTCCCCCCTGAGCCTCCTTTTCTCCAGGCTGAGGCCCCCAGCTCTCTCAGCTGCTCCTGCTGCTCCAGCCCCTTCCCAGCATCATTCCCTTCCCTGCACATGCTCCAGCCCCTCATTACTTGCTCTGT